GGGTTTGCAGTGAGCTGAGATTGTGCCAGTGTGCTCCAGCCTGGGCAATAGAGGAGACTCCGTCTCAAAAAAAAAAAAAAGATAAATACATAAATCTTTGAATATATTTATTTCATTCTTTTAAAGTCTTTGTTTGTTGCTCTTACCGTCTTTGTTATCTCTGGGCATTTCTGTTGACTTATTTTTCCCGGTTATGGTTAAATTTTTCTGCTTCGCCTATCTAGTAATTTTTTTGTATGCCAGGTATTGTGGTAGCAATGTTGTTGAAAGTCTCAATTCTGTTTTCCTCCCTTAAAGAGTAGTGTGGTTTGTTCTGGCAGGCAGTTAATTTGCTGTTGGTTAACTAGGATCTATTTGAGGCTTGTTTTTAAGCTTTATTAAGGCAGGTCCAGAGAAACCCTCACTCTGGGCAATTGCAGACATGTAGATGGAGATTGAGGCTCCAATTCCACGGCCATGGTGGAATCTCTGTTGAATACTCAAGGTCTCTCCCATCTAGGTGTGGGAACACATCTGTCTCCTGCCCCATGTGACCTCCCGAACCTCTCCTCAGCTCACGTGCCCCGGAGCTGTTCTCTGCCAGGCCTTGCAGGTGTTCTCTGCACACCCTCAGCTGTTTGTCCAGAGGCTTCCTTGGATCCCTGTGGATGTTTTTGGAGTCCCCTTTCTGTGCAGCTCCGTCCTGACCGGCTCCCCATCCTGCAGTTTTCAACAGCTCAGCAGCTCGAGATTTCCATTCCTGCCATCTCTGCTTCTTCAGACTGCAGGCCCTGCGTGGCTTCGCCGTCCCCACCTACAGCCTCGGAGGCTCCCATGCATTGCCTGTGCGCAGGAGCCACCGTCCTGCGCGGTGTATTCCGGGTCTGAAGCCAGGCGCTTCATAGATTCTACCCAGCTTGTGGTGTTGACAGTGGAGGTGAGGTCCAGTGTCAGTGACTGTCCTGAGTGGGAGCAGAAATCTCATTTTCCTTTATTACGAAATTCTTCCTTCTCATCTTCTGCTTTGACGCTGTGGTGGTTTCTGAGTTAGACTTCATTGCAAAAACGGTTTGTCCTCTCATTCCTGATTCTTATTTTGCCTCTTTTTTCAAATCTTTTCTTAAATCACATTGTTTCTGTGACTGACTGGGTTGTAGTCTTCATACGTGTTATGTGTATGTCTTTCTGGGCTGTTTTAATTGTCAGTGGAGGTGTTACTCTCCTTTTTATTCGTTTTGATTTTCACTGGGACTCAACTGTGAACTTTGAAGTAGCCCCTCTTCCCCGTGGCTTTGCTGTTTCCGCAGCGGGAGCTCCCTCTTCAGTTGTTCCACAAAGTGATTAAAAACACCGGGTCTCCCAGAGTCTCCTTGTTGGAGGGGAGGCTGCAGACGAGCAGGTGGAGGGGCCAGTGTGGTCCAGGCAGTGATGGCTGCAGGGGTGGGCTGGAGACCTCAGGGGGACCCGGTTAGCTTAGTATACATGGGAATGTCCGCATGGAGATGGAGATTGAGGTGTATGAGTGCGTGTGTGTACATACATGTGCCTCCGCGTTCTTCCTGCCGAGAGGGCCTGGAAGGAGTGACACCCACCAGCACCGAGTCCACCGAATGCTCTGGTCTTAGTGGTTTTGTTTTTCACTTGTGTAGACCCAGGGTGGAGTGCAGTGGTGTAGTCATGCTTCACTGCAGCCTCGACCTCCTGGGCTCAGGCGAGCCTCCCACCTCAGCTCCTCAGTAGCTGGAGCAACAGGCACGGGCCACCACGCCCAGATAACTTTTTAAAAACTGTTTTAGAGATGGGGTCCTGCTGTGTTGCCCAGGCTCATCTCAAACTCCTGGCCTCAAGCATTTCACTCACCTGGGCCTCTGAGAATGCTCTGAGATTCCACATGTGAACCACCGTGCCTGGCCAGATCTCAGTTTTTAATTCATTAATTAATTTTTTGAGGCAGGATCTCGCTCTGTCACCCAAGCCGGAGTGCAGTGGCATAATTATGGAACCTCAACCTCCTGAGCTCAAGTGATCCTCCTGCCTCAACCTCCCGTGTAGCTGGGAACACAGACACAGGCCACCACACTTGGCCAATTTTTACATTTTTTGTAGAGATGGGGTCTCACTTTGTTGCCCACGCTGGTCTCAAGCTCCCATTCTCAAGTGATGGTCCCTGCTCAGCCTCTCAAAATACTGAGATTACAGGCATGAGCCACCATGCCTGGCCAGTTTATAATATTCTCCAATGACAAGGACCCCGGGGCTCCTTGGAAAAGGGGCTGATTCCCGGGCCAGGGCAGGGAATGCAGGAGGAGCCTGGAGCGCCCTGCAGTGCCAGGAAGTCAGGACGTGCCCCAAAATGAAAAGTCTGTTGACAGGGGCGCATCAGGACACAGCAGCCAACTGCAGGAGCTCCCCAGGGCCGAGGACGGGCAGTGTGATTCACAAAACAAAGTGGTGGTGTGTTCTAGCTCAGGGTGCAGCCTCAATATCCGCGACTTCATCTCAGTATAAACAAATGGCCGAATATATAAATTGGGGGCACAGAAGAACTTGCAGTAGTTCCTGTAGCTGCTCCTCTGTCAGGGTGGTAAGTGGTGGTCCCCCGCCCCTTTAGTGTGGGCTGCATGCAGTGACTTCCTTCGGGAGTGCAGTGTGGGATGGGGAATATGAGAGCGTCTTTGCATGGGGAGTCATGACAGCCACAGCCTCAGCCAGGAGATCAGGTGAGCTGCCCTGACAGGACGCACCGTGGGCATGGGGTGATGAGAAGGGCGTTTCCCTCTGTGCTCCCCCTCCCCACACCCACAGCCCAGCCTAATCATGAGTAGAGCACCAGATGGAGCCAGACATCTGAGTCAGGTGTGGCGCTTGCTGCGTCAACATGGATTCATTCACTGTTAACATAGACCATCCTAGCACAAGGGTTAGCGATAGGAAGAGTGAGTGTGGGGCCGTGGGGATCCTGTGTTGGCAGCTTCTTTGTACATCTACAACTTTTCTAAAACTGCATGCTTATTAAAGGTAAAGTAACCTCCAACACAGACTCATGGCTCGTGCCCCTGGCCCGTCCCGCCTTTGTTCTGACTGCTCCCCTCTTCGTAGTGCCTCTGCCCACTCCTGTGCTCTCTGTTCCTGGCCCGCTCCTGAGCCTGGCTGTGCCTGGAGAGGGTCCTTTTGCTCTTCCTTTTCTGGGGTGGCGGGGCCAGGCCACACCGGCACCCATCACCAGCCTGCTGGCCTCTGTGGCAGTTCCCCCACCGGGTCTGCTCCTCTTCTCACTGTGGCCTCTGTGGCTTAGTGTCCTTGGGTGCCAGCTGCCCTTCCGCTCCGCACTCCTGCCCCACCCCCTGAATTTTCATCAGTAGGAATACCTGCTCTGCACATGTGCCCCAGTGAACAAACACAGATGAATGTGGATATTACTCTGCACACCAGCCAAGCCCTCTCAGGACAGTCACACACGCCAGAGAGCTGCCGCATGCTGACTGGACCCACTGGGCTCGCTTGGCGTGCTCCCCCCACCATACGCGGCACCTGGTCCTGACAGTACGCCCACCCCCGTACCAACCTCACCACTGCCTTGCCTGGTTGCCTAGCTTCTTGTGCCCAAAGCCTCTACCACTCCCAGCTTCCCTTGCGCTGTGCCCTCCAGCCCCAGCAGGCTCATTCTCCCTGTTGTGGGCCTCTGCGTGACCTCCTCTGTCCAGGCCAGGCCTCCCGAGAGCAGGCAGCTCTGCATCGTGTGCCTCTTGCTCCCAGCCCTGCTGCTCACAGGGACCTCCCCAGACCTGGAGTCCGCTCTTCCTGTGGCTTCCTTTGTCACTTGGGTGACCTGCCGGCACCTGTGTCCCCACTGTTGTTGGTGGAGCCCTGAGGGCAGACTGGCAGTTGTGAGCATGGTGTATGGGTTCATGTGGCACCACAGGGCTGGGGGATGGCCTTGCCAGGGCAGAGGAAGGCCCGTGGGCACATGGACGTCCGGAGCCTCACTGGGCTGTTGGTTCTGTAGAGACGAGTTCCACACTGCCCTTGTGGCTGAGGGACCGGCCGAGTGGGCAGAAGGATACTGTGGCATGTTGGGCCTGCTGCTGCTGCGCTGCTTAGGGAGAGGGGCCACCAGGGGCCGTCCCCCTCTGCTGTGGCGCCTGGAGAGTATGTCTGCACCGGGTCAGCGTGCCGTCTCTGTGCCCAGGCTGTGCGTATGTGTGCAGTCGAGACACCACAGGCCCCATGGCGGCTGGAGTTGATGGCGTGAGCCCGCCTTGGCTGCTTTCCTGATGGCTCTGTGCTCCCCACAGCATCTGGTGTCACGGCTGTGTCCTGACTCCTGCAAGGCTTCACACGGACAGAGGTGCTCCGACAGGGTCTGAGGGGCGGTGGCGGGAGATGCTGGGGTCTCTTGATTGGCAGGAAGCACAGGAAGTATGGCTCCTACACGGATAGAGGCTCCTGATGAGCCCGTAGTGTTGCTGGTGGGGGCTGTCCCTGCCAGTGGGGTCCACACTGACTCAGGTTGAGGAGAGAGCGCTGCCCTCTCAGGTGTTTGCATTTTTGGAATGTGGTGGTCTCCTGTGTGCAGACCACTGGAAGGAAGGCTGGGGCATGCTGCTCCCTGCACCCCCATGGGGAGCTGCTCGGGACGTTTCTCCTGGGCTGGGTGCCCTGTGGCTCTGGCTGGCAGCCTCGGCCCAGCCCCATCCAGGCACCCAGAAGCTGGTGGGCCCCTTCTCTCTCTAGGGCCATCCAGCGGGAGAGCTACTTTGAGTACCTCCAGCTGTGTACACACTGCAGGACAGGGCCACCTATCTGTCCGTCCGTCTGTCCCCAGTCTGAGCACTGACTTGGTGGGGCTGGGCCACACAAGGGTGAGACCTGGAGCTCGTCAGCAGAGCTGCTCCTGTGCTCAGAAGGGCTTTCCTGGGGGAGCACCTTGAGATGGACTCCAGGACCTCTCTGATGAGTCATTCTTGCCGGCTGAGGATGGCCCTGTCCTCTCCCTTCTGACCCCACCCCCACTGCCTTTTCTGCCCTGCCACTTTGAAAGGCCGATTCAGATGCTCCCTTATTTAACCAGCCTTGGCCAGCCCTTGCCTCTGGAAAGGGAGCAGCTGTTTGTCTCTGCCAGGCGTCCCATTGGCCAGGGAGTGAGGGTGGAGGGCCGAGAGGCTGGAGGGCCCGGGCAGCAGGCACTTGCGAGTGCTGGCCATCCAGTACCCCACCGCTTCCCTTCCCTACTGCCCACATCATGCTGGGAGACCACTGCAGTCTCCCTGAAGACCAAGCCCTGCCCAGCCAGTCCCCCAAAACCGGACTCTGCTACAAAATGGTGCTTCAGGCCATCAGCAAAGTGCTCAGGTGACACCTGCCGGCTTGGCCGGGGGAGGGGTGTGGTGTGTAGGACGTCTGTCTGTCTGTCCTGTTCCTGCGCCCAGGACGTCAGGCTGGGGAGGCAGCGGACTGTGTCCGTGGCTGCCCTCCCGACGTGGCCAGCAACTTTGCAGTAAGCTGTGCTGGGCAGCCCTCAGGCCATCCAGGGCAGAGGTGGCTGTGTAGCCCCGGGCCAGCCTGGCGGGTTTGCTCTGGAGCCTGGCCGAGTGGGGCTCTCCTTAGCCGCCTGCATCTCCTCTGCTCTATGGGGGGGCAGCGGGTCTCGATGTCCTCAACTTTTGGGGCTGACCCCACCTTGCCAGCACAGAAGCCTGCCCTCCTGCAGCCCACAGGATGTGGAGCCCCAGTCGCCGCGGGTGTGCCTGCCTGTGTCCCAGCCCACCGGGGCACGGGCTTTGGCCACCCAGGCGGAGGTGACCCAGAGGCTGTCCTTGAGTGGCCTGGTCCAGAGAAGTAGCACAGGGCTCCTGAGCGCCTGGTTTTGTGCTGGCTGCCATAGGGAGGTTACTGGAAGATCCATTTCTGACACTTTCTTCACTACTTTCTCTGACCTGCTGCAGGGATGGCTCCCCTCCGTACATTCAGGGGGCCGTGTGCAGGGGCGTGTGTGGGAGCAGGAACCCGTGCTTGAGCTTGAGGGCCCCGGGGAGTGGGGCAGGTACCGCCCGCTGCAGCAGCAGATGTGTCTCCCCGGTAGGTCGCTTAGGGGTGTGTGAGGCAAGCATGGCCTGCTGGACATGCCCCCCAGGGGCCGGGGCTGTGGCACGCATGTGCAGCTCTGTGCCTCTGCCTGTCCCTGGGCACCCGGCTCCATTTTTCTCTTCGTGGGATCCTTCCCTGCCTTCTGATTGCCAGTGTGTTCAATGGGCAGGGCCCTACAAGTCAACCCAAGGGTGCCAGCCGATGACCCCGCCAAACGTGGCTTATCTGAAGGTGAAGCTGAGGTTTTGGAAACGTGTGGACAAGTTGGCAGTACACGTGAGTTCAGATCAGGAATGGTGCCTGACATCAGTGGGGTGATGGGACTGCATGTGTGAGGGACTGGTGTGTGAGAGAGAAATGTGTGTGTGTGTGTGTGTGTGTGTGTGTGTGTGTGTGTGAAGGACTGGCGTGTGTGTGAGGGGACTCGTGTGTGTGTGTGTGTGAGACTGGTTGTGTGTGAGGGGACACGTGTGTGTGTGTGTGAGGGAACTGGTGTGTTTGAGAGAGGACTCGTGTGTGTGTGTGACTGGTGTGTGTGTGAGGGACTGGTGTGTGTGTGAGGGACTGATGTATGTGTGAGGGGACTCGTGTGTGTATGAGGGACTCGTGTGTGTGTGAGGGGACTCGTGTGTGTAAGGGACTGGTGTGTGTGGGGGGACACGCGTGTGTGTGTGTGTG